CAAGCCCGTCGGACTGAGGGAGTCAGCTCGGAAACGTTGTACTCTATTGGCACACCGATTCGGAGAGGGGCTGAAGTCAGCCGCGAGGCAAGTTGTGGTGTTTGGAGGGAGGCTTGGATTCGAGAGCGGGAGGGTATTGAGAGGTTGGTAGGGTCGCGCTGGTCATGTTGGTTGAGGATGTCTAGACATGCTATTAGCACAGTCGTTATCCAGCCACACTGGTCAAAACCCACCGAAGATATCGCGCACATTGGCCGTGGTTTTCCCCAATATACCTACGGTATCTAGAGAATTGGCGTACGCCACCACGCCCCATCGTGAGATCAGTCCGTATGACGGCTTGAATCCTACTGTGCCAGTGTAAGCAGCTGGGAGTCTGACCGAGCCTCCGGTGTCCGTTCCTAGTGAACTTTATAAGTCAACAACCAGTCTCCTTCCTGACAATTGACCACTTACGCATAGCATTGGTCGGCGGCGACTGAAGCGGCACTTCCACCAGAGCTGCCACCAGCCGAGAGGTCTCCCCCGCTGGAATCTTGACGAGGGTTCTTGACAGGACCGAAATGTGAATTGACCGAGTGTGATCCCATCCCAAACTCGTCCAGATTTGTCTTTCCAGCGATAATGGCCCCGGCGGCCTCTAGTTGATCGACAACGGTAGCATTGAACGGGCTCGTAAATTTATCCAGGATTCCCGAAGCGCAGGTTGTCGGAAGGTCGCGCGTGCAGATATTGTCTTTAATGGAGATCAAGCGGCCGTCCACTGAAGACTTGGGTTTCCCTGATCATATTGGTTAATTCTGAAGTAGAGATTGGAAGTCTGATGTTGCTACCTTCTTCCTTGCGCACATCAGCTTCCTTTACGCGGTCCAGCCATGGCCCCGCGCGCGCCAGTGGGGTTATGAAGGCATTGAAACCATGTGCATATTGATTAGCGACGCATTTCTCCGCTTCGCGCAACAAGGACATTTAGACGAGTGTGTGAGGAGGACAATATAGAAAGGGAGTGGGAACGCGAGTTTCCCGGGTCCGTGCTGCTTGTCCACGGTATCTACATATTCAGGTCTCTCTGTCACCTTTGAAGTTAGGAAGATCTGTAGTTATATACGTATAGATTATATGTTTTTATAGCCCAGTTAAAAATAAAAAGCTATTGCTCGAATATGAACACCAATATCTAACAATTCTCAGTGACCTCGGAGTTACAATGTCAATAGTTCCATCGGGCCGAGCGAAATCGACCAAGACGTCATCCAGATTTGCTCAATCTTCTCTTCTCCTCCACTCTTTCACCTACCAACTATGTTCTCACGAAGTGTACTACAGACGGCCACCCGAAGTGCTCGCCCGGCCTCAGCTAGAGCTGTACCACAGGTGCTCGGTCAAGCTCCATTCGGTCGGCGATACGTTTCGGTCTATGGTTATACACAGGCAAAGGCTCTCATCTACTCCAAATATGGCGAGCCCAAAGATGTCTTACGGTAGGTCCACCAAGATTCCATTGCAATCTGCCATTGATCAAACAAAACTGATCAATTTAGCCTACACAAGCACTCAATCTCGGCGCCGCACGCAACCCAAGTGAACCTGCGCCTGTTGACTTCGCCAATGAACCCCGCCGACGTGAACCAGATCCAGGGCGTCTATCCCAGCAAACCTCCCTTCCAAACAGACCTCGGAAATGCAGAGCCCGCCGCAGTCGGTGGAAACGAGGGCGCATTCGAGGTGCTGTCAACCGGTGCGGGCGTCAAGAACCTCAGCAAAGGCGATTGGGTCATCATGAAGCGCACGGGCCTAGGTACCTGGCGTACCCACGCGCAGCTGGAAGAATCCCAGTTGATCAAGATTGAGAACAAGGAGGGCCTGACCCCGCTGCAGGTTGGCACTGTCAGCGTCAACCCCGTCACTGCGTACCGGATGCTTCGGGATTTCTGTGAATGGGATTGGATGCGTGCCGGCGAGGAATGGATGATTCAGAACGGCGCCAACAGCGGTGTCGGACGAGCAGCTATTCAGCTGGGCCGCGAATGGGGAATCAAGACGCTCAATGTCGTTCGACAGCGCAAGACACCCGAGGAGACTGAGGCTCTTAAGAAGGAGCTTCGGGATCTCGGAGCTACCGTTGTTATCACCGAGGAGGAGATGCTTACTGGCAACTTCCGGGATATGGTTCACGAGTTCACCCGCCAGGGCCGGGAGCCCATTCGTCTAGCGTTGAACTGCGTAGGCGGGAAGAATGCCACTGCTCTGGCAAAGACTTTGGCTCCTGATTCGCACATGGTGACCTACGGAGCCATGTCGAAGCAACCTGTTGCATTGCCCTCGGGCCTGTTGATCTTTAAGAACCTCGCGTTTGACGGGTTCTGGGTCAGCAAGTGGGGTGACAAGAACCCCGAGCTCAAGGAGAGCACCATCAGGGATGTGCTTCAAATGACTCGCTCTGGCAAGTTCCGGGATATCCCGGTGGATGAGGTCAAGTGGAACTGGGAGTCCGAGGGCCCGGAGTTGGCAGAGAGTGTGCAGGGCACTTTGGGCGGCTACCGCAGTGGAAAGGGTGTGTTCACCTTCAACGGCGGTGATTAAGTGAACAGCCAGTATGAATGTATTATAAAGCTAGGCGTTTTTCCCTCGAGATTTACTTCGTGGTCAATTGACCCGGGGGCCAGTACAACTTGAGTCCAGAAAAAGAAAATAAATTGTAACACAATGAACTGAGCTACATAGTATAATTTATCAACACTCCCAGTTCTTCTTCACCCAGTCAAGGATCAGGTTTGTTAGAGACACGTTCGGCATGTACACATCGCTTTCCTTTGAGATATCGATATCGAGACCAGCAAACTTGGCGGCCAGTATTATATATTTCTCGATGAAGTCAAGGTAGACCAAATCCACCGTCTTCGGTGTCTCGGATGCATTGGCAGATTTGAGAGCTTGAATACAGTTTGGCACGCGGTAAAAGTTGATGGGTGCATGGATGGTGTCGTCGCCATCTGTGCCCGCATCATCTTTTGTCGTGTAACCGGGCACGAGGTCCGGACCGGACATGGGGATTTGCCCACTGGTTGAAGCCCAGTTTGGGGTAATCACGTCTTCCGGATATGCAAGTTGCTCAAGAGGGCCCAAGGTTGTCAATGAAGATTCATCCGTAGATAAAATTTGAGGCTGCTCGTTCAAAACCTCGACAATAAGTTGTGCCTTGTCATATGGGACATCTTTCACATAGCGGAAGGTGCTGGTGAATGGAGATACAATAAAAGTCGTGTCTTGGGTAAAAGGTCCCTTGAAAATATCGAACCTCATGGCGCCCGTATTAATAATGGCTACCCTAGGCGCATCCCCACGAGTTTCATCCCTCAAGTCACCCAAAACCTGAGTCTCAAGCCAGGTGTAGATGCTGCTAGGGTCTGGATACTTGACTCGCGACATCCATAAATCATGTGGAGCACATCCATGGATTTGGTCTAGATGAAGGTCGGTCCGTGCTTTGGCGATCAATTTGGAGACATTGAGGCCTTTTTCGGTTGGGAAGGTCTCTTGATCAAGACCGGTGTGATGATAATAGGAAAAGACATTGTTATCAATGTATCTGCGCTTGAAGACGGGGCCAGCAGCAGACTGCTGGCTTGTTTTGCTGGCGAGGCCATCGATTGACATGAAGCCAACGGTTTCCATGAATCGACCACTCGCTAGCCCAAAGGCTTTGGAATCATACTGGGCGTAGTCACGCACATGCTGGTGCCCACCAAAGAATTGGATTGGAGTATCCCAACGAATTCCCCGGATCTCCTTGAAGATCGCCCGATATTCCGGCGAATGAACAGGCACATGGCCGATCACCAAAAACAGATCCACTTCTTTATCCCGAATGGCTTCTTGGAACCAATCCTCTTTGATAGTAGAAGATACTCTCTGAACCACAGTATTGTTATAGTTTCCGTTGAAATCAAAGAGGAAGCCAAAAGCTACTATACGGATGCCTTGTTTCTTGGTAGTAAACTTCTTAAACCGAGGGGCTAGAGGCACAAGCTCCTTCGTGGTCGGGTGAATGATATCGATATTCGAAGCTAGATAGTTGCCCCGGAAATTAGGAACGGTGACAAGAAGCTCAGCTTCCGATGTGTTCTGCTTGTATAGTTCGTGGTTTCCCGACGTCAATAGGTCGATGTGCTGGTGCTGCAAGATGTCTGAAAGGTAGATACCCTTGGGCTCGGACGAGTCATATAGGCCATTCCCTTCGACTCGGTCACCAGTATCTATAACGAGTAGATCTTGTCCTTGTGCTTCCGCCTTTTCCCGCATGCGTGTCGTAAACGATATATAGTCTCCCCAGTCTGCGGAGTAGGAGGGTCTGCGATGATTAGTACAACTCAAAGCTTAGTAGGGTCCAAAGCCTACTCCTGCAGATGACCAGCCAGCCAGCCATGAGTATCGGTAGTATGGAGGAAATTCAATTGCCCAAAATCAAGAGTTCGTAGCGGAGCGGGGATGGGGTCGGGTGCGGAGGGTTGAGCGGCGAGTGCCGACGGAAGTAGCCAGAGCAAGGACAACATCAATACCAACAATACACCCTTGGAAGAGTGTATATAAAGTATGTAACTATTAACTGCAAAGAAAAACTTGGAAGAACTTGAAAGATTCCGGAAAGGAAGCAGGTAGTTATAACAACTAAAAAGTTGATAGGTCCGGGAACCTTGGAAGATATGTTGTTGTAAACAACCTTGGAAGCCCGGAAGTCGATGCCTTAGGGTGAGCTTTCTCCAATTCTGGTATGGTTACGGTTACAGTACCGGTGAGCTCTGATATCACGTGTTGCCCAACATCTTCGGATTTGCATCTCAAAGATTATACGGCGATAAGTTTTCCCTTGGCCATTCATTTTGATCTACTCTCCCGTTATTCTATTCAATTGCTTTTGCGGTCCGATTCGGTCTGCGATCTTTAATTGAAGACTTTTCCTTTTTTTGTTTTCATCTTCTCAATTCCTCCATATTTCCGCAATGTCAGCTCCCCGACTTTTCCGCCCAACAGCTCGTCTGTTTTCCTCGCGCCTTGCTTCCACTGCTCTGCGCTCGAATCTCCGCCAGACCGCCTGTGCTCCTTCAATTCTGCGCCGTGGATATGCTACCGAGAATGGCAATGGCACCAAGCAGGTCACCGTTCGTGATGCCTTGAACGAGGCCTTGGCAGAGGAGTTGGAACGCAACCAGAAGACCTTCGTCCTTGGTGAGGAAGTCGCACAGTACAACGGAGCGTAAGTGATCCTTGAGTTTTGGTTGAAGCGAAACCGACGTTGACCTTTCGCCTGTATAGATACAAGGTGACCAAGGGTCTGCTCGACCGCTTCGGCCCCAAGCGGGTTATCGATACCCCCATCACAGAGGCCGGCTTCTGTGGTATCGCCGTTGGTGCTGCTCTCGCTGGTCTGCACCCCATTGTGAGTACTTCCGGAAAATGACGGTTGATATAGGATCGCATGCTAATCGTTCATGATCTAGTGCGAGTTCATGACCTTCAACTTCGCCATGCAGGCCATCGATCAGATTATCAACTCCGCCGCTAAGACTCACTACATGTCCGGTGGTATCCAGCCTTGCAACATCACTTTCCGCGGTCCCAACGGTTTCGCTTCCGGTGTCGCCGCCCAGCACTCCCAGGACTACTCCGCCTGGTACGGCAGCATTCCCGGTTTGAAGGTTGTCTCCCCTTGGAGCGCCGAGGATGCCAAGGGTCTGCTGAAGGCTGCTATCCGTGACCCCAACCCCGTTGTTGTTCTCGAGAACGAGTAAGATTCCGTCTCCATTTTTTCTGGATTCCGCGTGAACTAACCAATGCCAGGCTTATGTACGGCCAGGCTTTCCCCATGAGCGAGGCTGCCCAGAAGAACGACTTCGTTCTGCCCATCGGTAAGGCCAAGATTGAGCGCCCCGGAAAGGATCTTACAATCGTCTCTGTGTCTCGCTGCGTCGGTCAGTCCATGACCGCCGCCGCCGAGCTCAAGCAGAAGTACGGTGTCGACGCTGAGGTTATCAACCTGCGCTCCATTAAGCCCCTCGATGTTGAGACCATCGTTGCCTCCCTCAAGAAGACCGGCCGCATCATGGTCGTTGAGTCTGGCTACCCCATGTTCGGTCTTTCTTCCGAGATCATGGCTCTCTCCATGGAGTACGGCTTCGACTACCTGACCGCCCCCGCTGTCCGTGTCACCGGTGCCGAGGTTCCTACCCCTTACGCCGCTGGCCTTGAGGCCATGGCCTTCCCCCAGGAGGACACCATTGTCAGCCAGGCCGCCAAGCTTCTGCGCCTGTAAGCCAATAAACGAGGGCGAGTGAGGAGCTCGCAATAATATAGCCATGTGCCTAGTACCCTTTCATCTGTTCCATCTTATGTCGTTTTATTCTGCTTTTGTTATCCAACCGTTTTAGACAGTCTTTTGGAAAGCATGTACCATTACACCAAGATCAGGACCAACGTAAATGTGCTTAAACGGTTCATTGCTGCCCAGTAATTAAAACAAAGGATGCCCCTTCAACGCCATTTGATATTTGATTCTCGAGTCATTTCCGGCGTCACGTTATCAGACATCTTGAGCACCACACCCAGCGAAACAGTCTGTTGGCCGGTGAGGATCATAATATCCTTCTTGGTCATATGCGTCGGTTTCGCTTTCCACATCATCATCTTCAATCTTCTTGGGCTTGTCCACATCACCATCTTCTCGAGGTTTCGGGATATCATCTTCATCGTCGTCTCCTAGAACGTTCTTCCTCTTGACTGGGAGTTTGGGGGCCGCTATTCCCTTAATAGTAGTGAATGAGCTTTTGAACCCTCCCTTCTTGAAACCCGTGTTTCCTTCACTTGGTGCCACGTTGTTCACAGGAGTCTCAATGACTTTCAGACCAGCCTGCGCATCGGCTTTACGTTCTGCCCGGCGGTTCTTCTCGGCGGCATTGGGATCACGTGTTAGCTGTTTGAGGTCTTGCAAACGCTTTTTGTGCTGGTGGTCGTATGAGCCGATATGCGTCTCATATTCTGGCTGGCGCGAGTAGGATTTGTTGCATAGGGTGCAGGTGAAGGAGCTGAGCGCAGACCGCGCGGACTCAGTCTATAAGGATTAGCTTGAGCTTGATGGTAGTTGATATGGTAAATATGGGTGATGAATTACCCTGGGAGCGGGGTTTGTAAAACCACGCTATATTATTATTAGCTGAAATGTCTCATGTTTGGACCAAAAATAATAACATACCGGTGCCATCGTTCTTGGACTAGAATATTCGCGACGTTCGGAGAGGGAGCGTTTAGTACGGTTGCGCATTCCGACCATCTGCGTATTTATACCTGGCGGGTCCATCGCGCATTGGACCCGCATTGGAGCTTGCGGCCAGTAAAATCAGGCATACATGGGTTTATTTGATTGTCTAAGCTCCGCATTCTTTTTTAATGATTAGCTAGCAATATGGATCTTATTTCAGGTATACTAGTGATCTCGATGGATCTCGATGGCTTAAGCCTCTCGATAGTCCTTGCGGAGCAAAGCGTCCTGATGGGCAATCTATGGGTTTAGATCACTACTGTGTGTGGGTGACGGCACCATAGATGGAGGATGACTAAGGTTATGACTAATCCATGGAACATATCTTACGTAGCAACTCCATAGTAATAAGAACCATCTTTACCACCATCTACCATTTCCGTAACAGGGAGAAAGCAGGAGAAGAATTATTAATCGGTAAAACTAATAATGCAGGGGTTTATATACCCTGCGAAACCATCTGAACATTACTCAATTATAGCAAACAAATAGCAAATAGCAAACAAAGGTAAAAGGCTCAGTCTGCAGCAAATAACATACATGCGTTTCTCAGCGATCAGTTTTTACCGCATAGGTTCTGTGGATTTTGAGCCCATGGGATAAAATCCAGGCCACGTGACACGCGAGGCCCTTATGATTTACATTGCTTCGCTTCGCTCTGCAATAATAAGTAGGACTTTCACCTATACATCCATATAGTAAATCAAGCAAGTCAAACTACTATACTCCGTAGTAACATGCGATGTATACTGAGTCACCTGACCATCAGGATCTCGGGCAATCGTCATTACCCGCATGGGAAGCAGCCTATCACAGCAGCTGTATTTTCACGACTCAGAGATCTTCAAACCCCAGCATTTCCCTGCTTTTTCCTAGTTCGGCTATGCAATATGGATGCATGATTGACGAGTTAATTTCTTACAAATTTCATTTTCGTGCTGTTTCCCCAGCTTCTGAAATCCCCAACCCCTGGAAACCGTACAATGTCGACCCACGAGCTCTCTAAACCAGAGGACATTGACACCAAGTCTATCTTCTCCCTACAAGAATTAGACCCATCACCTGTCCATGATACTCTAGATGTTGAAAGCGGCGAATACTTCCCTAGGGCGGCCTCTCCTACGCAACATGGAGCTGGAATTCCAATCCCCAAGCTAGGGCTTAGCGGTCATCGCTGGGATTCATGGCGTACGTCAAGCGTCAAAAGCTATTTTATACATCTATATCCTAACTAACCACAATGATTATTTAGTAACCGGTATTCAAAAATACTCAACCTATCCACCTACCGCTTTCTTCATCCTACATCTCGCCAACACCTCTCTTATCCCACTCATGACTCGCTCCGTGCCCGCGAGCGAATCCTACCTTTTGCTCACACGACCCATATACCAAGCCCCCGGGCTAGAGCATCTTGTCTTGACAGTTCCTATGATTGCGCATATTGCATCGGGGATTGCTCTTCGCAACATTCGTGCTGGGCGTAGAGCCCGTCTGTACGGCGCCGAGACTCGCGCACAGCGAAACACGTTATATTTCTGGCCGCGGATGTCGTTACAAGCACGCACTGGATACTTTGTCGCACCGCTGATTGGATTCCACGTATGGGTCAACCGTGCCACGCCATTGATCGTTGAAGGAGGAAGCTCTGGCGTAGGACTTGGATATATTGCCCATGGATTTGCTCGGAGTCCTGTGTTCTGGAATGTCTTCTATTTCTTCTTTGTGACTGCCGGTGTATGGCACTTCGTTGGTGGCTGGGCGACCTGGATGGGCTATAGAGTGACCACAGCGCGCAAGGAGCGTAGCCAAAAAGGCTCGTTGGATGGTTATCTTGGACTTACAGAAACAAAGCCGAAGAGACAGCGCAAGATGTGGTGGGTTGTCAATGGAGTCGCCGCTGCTGGTGCGGCTCTCTGGCTTGCAGGTGCCCTCGGTGTTGTTGGACGTGCCGGCGAAGGCGCAGGTTGGGAGGCCAAGGGGTGGAATGAGATGTATAGTCATATCCCGATCATTGGGGAGTGGCTGTGACAGCTTTGTGTGATTATATATAATATCCACATAGACTTAATCCTAATGTATAAAAAAGAGTCTGAAGACCACAAACGTCAAGACTCGTCCTCCGATATCTGCTTGGTGTACTTTTATATGTACAACATAGTTAATATAAATTACAAAACAGGTATTGTGGTGTACTGCTGGTCCGTGCGTCGAATCTTTTTCTCCGTCGCATTCAACGTCTGTTGCGACATGCTGTAAAAGGCTTCGCTCATGATCCCCTCGTTGATTTTTGGATCAGCAACGAAATGCGCTAAGCAACGACTCATTCCTACCCTTATTTTTGCCCAATTCCCCAGCTTGACCCCCATCTCGACCCCCATCTCGATCCGATCTCGAATATTTTCCACTTCTAGAGTCATGGAGGAAGAACCTCAGATCCAGCTGGTAGAATACCAGGGAAACAATTACCATGTTGTCAAGGAAGGTCTGGCGAAGATCCTAAACCCGCCTACCCAAGTGGCCGCCTCCAAGGGAACGAAGAAGGATCTCAAAGCCGACGACCAAATGCAATCCGTCTTCTACAACCCAATTCAACAATTCAATCGCGACCTCAGTGTGCTAGCCATTCGCGCGCATGGAGAACATATCATCGACCTCAAGAAGAAGCAAAAAGCGGCTCAGAAGCTGAAGAAACAGGCAGGCAATGGGGAAAAGAAACGGAAGCGCGAAGACGACCAGACCGAGAACCCAAGGCCCGCCCCAAATGCAGAACCCAAGGAAAGCACAGAGACAAACGACCAGCCGCTTTCCGCTCCTCTGGCTGATCAAGAACCGCAGTCAGCGGCCCGACCAGAGCAACCCGCAGCTTCCTTCACTGTCCTTGATGCTCTGTCTGCAACTGGGCTGCGTGCTCTTCGCTATGCCTCAGAGCTTCCATTTGTCACAAAGGTCGTGGCTAATGACCTGTCAGAGTCAGCAATCAAGTCCATGAAGAAAAACATCGACTACAACGACCTTAAGACGATTCAACCCAATCTGGCCGATGCTCGAGTTTATATGTATGGACTTGACCACGCGAGCAAGTTCGACGTCATTGATTTGGATCCATATGGCACAGCATCTCCGTTCCTGGATGCCGCGGTGCAAGCAGCCAAAGATGGTGGCCTTTTGTGTGTTACTTGCACTGATGCCGGTGTCTGGGCTTCAACCGGCTATTCGGAAAAAGCATTCTCTCTGTATGGTGGTATCCCCGTCAAAGGCCTCCACTCCCACGAAGGTGGTCTGCGATTGATCTTGAATGCCATTGCTATGTCAGCAGCTAAATATGGAGTGGCCATCGAGCCATTATTGTCTCTGTCTATCGACTTTTACGCTCGCGTCTTTGTTCGGGTCTACCGATCTCCCGCACAGGTCAAATTTACCGCGGGCAACACGATGCTCGTATATAACTGCGATACCGGCTGTGGTGCATGGTCAACGCAAACCCTTGTGTCTACCAAAGCCAGATCAGACCGCAAGGGAAACCCCATATACCACCACGGCCTGGCCAAAGGGCCCACAGCTGGACCGCACTGCGAGCATTGCGGCACGAAAACACATATTGCCGGACCTATGTGGGGTGGTCGGCTACACAATCCTGACTTTATCCAGAAAATCCTGGACATGCTTCCTGGGGCTGATCCTGAAACATATCAGACCTGTGCTCGGATTGAGGGCATGTTGACCACTGCCCTTGAAGAGGACCTGGACCTGACACCATCTTCATCCGAGCCATCCAGTCCCAAACAACCCGCGCCAAGCACCAAAAACCAGCATGATCCTGCCTACCCTGCCATCATTCCCCGAATGGATGTTGCCGCTCGGGAAAAATACCCATTCTACTTCTCCCTCAGTGCTCTCGCAAAGGTTATCCACGCCACTACCATCCCAATTGACGAGTTCCGCGGTGCTCTCAGCCATCTCGGATACCGCTCCACTCGTAGCCACACCAAGCCAAACTCCATCCGCACCGATGCGCCCTGGGAGGTGATTTGGGAGATCATGCGCGAATGGGTCCGTCAGGAATCGCCTATCAAAGAGAGTTCCTTGAAGCCCGAAACCGCCGGTGCGACGATTATGAGCAAGAGCCGTGAAAATATGCGTAAATTGGGCGACCAAGATCAATGGTTGTCTGTCCTCAAAAAAGACCTGATGTCTGCCGTCGAGGCTGGCAGAGATGTTAGTGACTTGGTCACTAAGGTTGAAGCTGCTCTCTACCGGTCCGGATCGCGAAATTCCTGGAGAAGTGCTCCTGTCGCTTCTGCAGAGACTCGCCCCGATGCCGATTCCGACGCCCAGCCTGCACCGGAAAAGAAAAAGGAGAAGGCACCAGCACAGCTCTTCACGCGGCCTCACCCTAGTACCCTTGAAGTGGTCTTTGATGAGGCTCTAGGCCGTGAGGTGTCTGCTACGCATACCAAGAAACGACTGGTGCGGTACCAGCTCAATCCTCGTGCTAACTGGGGTCCTCTCAACCGTGCAGGGCGATAATGATGTTCAAATATCTTTGTTCATATATAGAAAAGTCTCTGTGAGTTTTATGCTCTTTCGTCAAACTATACCTACTGTACATTGTAAAGTGATAAGCTCGACGTTTTTTTACTCCGTGTTATTATTGTCATTCGTACTTTTGTGTATACAATATATATAATCATGCGTTATCATCATAATGGTTGGAATGGGCTTGCCCAATCCTTTATTGTTGGGGCCACCAAGTGCTTAGTCAGAAGCCAATTAGCCCTACCTAGGTAGTTATTTATATGTTGTCTGTCTAACATCCTCTTGAAACGCTCGAGCAAATAATACATAAAAATGGCTGTTGGCGGGTGTTTTTGCGGCAAGGTTCGAATCGAATATACTGGCCAGCCTCTAGCATCGGTATAGTACAACCTATAGGATTCTATTTTTGTTATAACAAAATCTAATGTTACTCTCCATTAGGCACTGTGTCACTGTATCGATTGTCGCAAGCTTACGGGGACACCCTATAGCTACAATTTCATCATCAAAAGTGCAGATCTTAATATCTCCGGAAGTCCAAAGGAAGTGCCAAAGACAGCGGATAGTGGAAATGCCATTAAGAATTACTTCTGCCCTGACTGTGGTTTGTATTATACTGAATAACTATTGCGGAAGATAAGCAACTGATGAAAGTGTTAGGTACCCCGCTATTTGGACGGAAGATCAAACCCAACGGAGATTCCGACGAGACTACAGTCGTCCGGGCGGGAATATTTGATGATGAGGGGATTTTGAATGAACGGACGCCTGTGGTGGAGATATACACCAAGCAACGATTGAAGTGGGTGAGTCCCATTGAGGGGGCTGATCAATTTAGTGGCATGTTGCCACTGCGATAACAGTAGTTTAGTGTTTAATATGTAAATTGCTTGATGTTTATATCTTCGTGTAAAATACAGGCACTATTCTAGGAAATGCAAGAAGAGTACATGTATGGAAGTATAACTGATATCGAAAAGAACTGTATTAAAATGCAAACTGAAACTCATATACATGCACATAAAAACTCCAAGGCTTTGAGACATATCACATAATGACCCATGAAAAAAAAAAAAAAAAAAGTCTATCAGAAACACAACATTATAAAGAGGATATCAGCAGGAATAGATTATTTCGCAACGGTTTCGTTGCCCTCTTCGTACTTCTCCCAGTTCGCCAAGATAGAGGCAATGCGGGGCGAGTTGGTGAGTCTGTAGACATCTTCGAAGTATTCCTTGGTGATCTCGAAGGGACGGGCAGTGACGTTGGGGATGTACTTGCCGACCAACTTGCTGGGGTCGATGGTGGTCTTGTTGATCTTCTTCAACAAGAAGGAACGGAAGGGCTTCACACCAGAGCGCAGGAAGGTACTGTGGAAGGGCACATCGATACCCTTGAGAGGAATGGTGGCGAAACCACGCTCCAGGGCGATGGGACGAGGCTTGGCCTCGGTTTGCTTGACACATTCCTGGATGATGCTGACCAAGTGCTCCTTGACGTCCTCCAAAGACATGCTCTCCATAAGAGCGGGAATGTCAATGTTCTGCGCCTTCAAGAAGTTCAGCAGGTTGGTGAGGCAGTCAAGAGCACGGAGGTCACCAGCGGCGACGTATTGCATGTTGGCAACGTTGTAGTTGACAATCTCCAGCAGCCAGCCAGTGGTCTCGGAAATGTTCTCAACGACGTACTGGAGTGCCTGCTCGTTGAAAGTCTTGGAGATACGGCTGGGGTTGACAGCGCACATGGAGTAGTTGGAGCGACCCTGTGCATCACGCTCGACGGCGACCTGCATGGTCAGACCACGGTAGAACACAACAGACACCAAGCTCTCAATGGGCATGACATCAGCCAGAGCGGCCAAAGCCGAGTATTCACCAAGTGAGTGACCAGCGAAGCTGCTGTCGCGCTGCACCAATCCCTTGGAGCGCATGTCCTCAAAGCTGGCCTTCTCCATCAGAGTCAAAGCTGGCTGAGTGAACTGAGTGGCAGAGAGTAGGCCGGTAGGAGAGCGGTAGGTGTACGAGGCAGTGTTCTCATCGACCTCCTTGAAAATCTTCTCAGACTTGATGGACCCGTCGGCGTTCACAGACTCGAAGGTCATGGCCATGTAGTTCTCCCGAATGGCTTTACCCCGGGGACCACCGAAGTAGACAGTCAGCTCCTTGGGGTTGTTCTTGACGATGTCAATAATGGAAAGACCGTAGTTCTCCATGAAGTGGCGATCAGCCCGGTCCCAGACCTCTTGGGCCACTGGGCTAGAAGCATACAGCTCCATACCCATTCCCTGCTCCTGAGAGCCCTGGCCAGTGAACACGTAGGAAGTAACTGGCTGCTCAACCTCGGCCTCACCCTGGAGAACCTTCTCTTCTGTCTCCTTGTTGCTGGCTTCAACCTTGATGATCTTGCGACCAGCAATCATGCCGACATGCTGGAGCTTAACGGTGATCATGTCGTTGGGCAGGACCATGCCGACAAGCGAAACTTGGAAGCCACGAACACGACCAATGTTGTTCTCGGCGGCCCAGGTTTCGACAAGGCTGCGAACAGCGGCACTGCTGTACATGCCATGGGTGATGGTTCCGGGCAAGTTGGCATAGCTGGAGAAGACGCGCGACACGTGGATAGGGTTGTAGTCACCAGACACACGGGCATAGGTCTCGTTGGAGGCCGGGGCACGCAGTTCCAGAGCGGTCTTGCCACTGAGCGGGATGGGGTTCTCGAAGTAGACCGGCTGCTCAATGGAAGTTCCGTTACGCTGGAGGTAGTCAACCACAGGGTTACCGTGAGAGTCACCTGCCTCGTATTCGACAGATCCCACTTGGATGACCTCCTTGGTGGGAAGCTCGAGAAGAACCTGTCCAACGGTCTGGACGTTGCTGAAGACAGTGGTGTTCTTGAAACGGATCAAACTCTGCAAGCGGAATGTCAAAGTCTGACCGAGAAGCTCAATGTCAGAGTCGTCCATGCGGAACCATTCCTTGGAGCGGAGGATGGCGACGTCGCGGCTGGTTGCGAGGTGGACCTGAATGGGTACCTCATCCTTGCGCTGGAAGGTGTTCTCATAGTCGGTGTAAGCACCCCTGTACAGGAACTGACTGGTAACGTGCATGATGGCTTTGTTGTCCCGCTTGATGGTGCCGCAGACCTCGACCATCTTACCAGAATCCTGGTTGATGACAGAGTTAATCTGAGCCGTGGTGTCCAGAACATCGCCAACCTTTAGGGGCTGGGCACCGGGCACCATCTTGAATCCGTTGGACAAGTGGACAAGCTTCAGCAAATCTCCGTCAATGGTGCGAGGGAAGATAGGCTTGGTGATTGCCTGCCAGCCTGCCACGATGGCAAAGTCCATAGGGGCAAAGACCTCCTTGCCAGGACGGTCAACGAAAGCCTCACCGGTGTTGCCAACTGCGTGAACGAAGTCGGCAACATCCTGGGCAGTGATGGTCTTCTGGCCACCACTGAAGGTGGCAGTAGTGGGGGTGTCGAAGGGCACGTCCTTGTTGCCGAACCAGATCCGGTAGTAGAACTCCTTGATGCGATCGTTGCGGTCACCCATAACCTCACGAATAGGAGCGTATCCAGTCTCGGGGTGGTAAGTGAACAAGAAGTTCAGAGGGACAACGCCATTCTCGGCGGTGCGGCCCTCAAACAAGTTGAGACTGATCTGTCCCTGCTCGTTGATCTTGGCCTCGACGGTCTTGACCAACTTGCCAGACTGGTATGGCTCTCGCACACTGATGACAGTCTTGGCAGGATCATTGGGGTTGGTTACTTCAACATACATGCCTGCGGTGGGGGGCGACAATCCGCTTCATGGGGTTGGATTGGAAGCGGTGGCCCTGAACGAAAACATCGGCCAAGAACAGAGCATGTCTCCAGGAGTAGACGTCCCCGGCAAGAAGACCGAGCCAGCGGTCCAAGTCTGGCAGGGGTGCGGTGGAAGACAAGCGGAAGCTGGTCTTGCTTGGCTCTTCCGAAATAACCAAACCGTCAAACTCAGATTCGGTGGTGTTCAGAAGCTGCCCACCGAAGTACTCAATGACAGGAACCTTGGTGCTGTCGCCAGCGTAGACATCACGCAGGAGGCCAGCGATGTGTCCCTGGTGAACACCATCAAGAATGTCCTTGACAGGCTCATCAATGATGTTGGAGAAGCGGGCAGCCATAGGACCCTGAAGAATACAGGTTCGGCCGACGTCTTGATCGACAATAGCCTCAAGATCCTCACTCTGCCACAGAGAATCCTTTTTGAAGAAGAACTCGAAGTTCTCATCCAGCACGGGGACGAAAGGCACGGGCTTCTGGCCGCGTTTCTGGCAGAGCAGCAGGAAGTGCTGCACATCCTGCGCGTTGATCAGCTGATCGGCAGCTTCGGGATAAGCAGACAAAATGTTGTCCACAGTAGGGTAGGGGGTATCGATATCGGAATAACTTTGGAGCAACGAGGCCTGGCCCTCGGCTGTAGTGAAACGCTCCTCGACACGACGGATGAAGTCACCGGTCAAGCGCTTCAGCGAGGGATCGATCCATCGCGACTCATGCTTGATGTACATGAGGTCCACCATGCGGCGAACGACCTCAGCATAAGTCATATCTTCCAGATCCACAGCCTCGCCTGCAGCGTTGCGACCGAACCAGACCTTGTGGAAGTCATCATTCAGCTTCTTGATGATGTAGTTCCTTTGCTTCTTCAGCTCAGGGACACGCTTGGCCTTGTCCAGCTTGAAGATCTTTTGGTCCATCTCCTGCCAGAACAGCACACCACGAGTGGCCAGCTTGTGGATAGGCTCACCCATCTCAGACAGAACAGTGATCACACCACCTGTTGCTTTCTGGTAGGTCTTCTCCCACTCCGCATCGTCCACACCAGGAGCATCCGCAATTGCCTTCTTGGCATTGTAAGAGGTGTGTGCCTCCTTCGCGATCATCATGCGGGAGCCGAAGAGACAGCCGTCGAAGGGCATAGGAGGGTAGCCAAACTTGGCGGACCACGTACCCGAGAGGTAAGGGTAAGTGTCTTCCGAACCACCGAAGCCACTGCCGGCAACAAGCACAATGTTATCTTGTTTGCGAATACGGCTGTACATCTGGAGGATAGGCTGGTGGAAGTCCTCAAAGGAGTGGTGACCACCGCCACGGCCACCAGTCCACTGAAGGATGATGGGGAACTTAGGGTTGGCCTTGGCAACATTGATGACTTGTTGAATCGCATCCACGGAGCCAGGCTTGAAGGCAATGTGCTTGATACCAAGAGTTTCAATGTATTCATTGGCAACTTCAATAGATGGCACACCGGCGCCAATGGTCAGACCCTCAATCGGCACGCCTTCCGCGCGCAACCGACCGATCAACGGAATCTGCCAGGCCATCGCACGGGGGTTGACATAGATCAGGTTAATAGTGATACCACGTCCAGGAGGGATAGCCTTCTCGATCTTGGTAATGGCCTCCGTCATCGTCTTCGCGTTGTAGTAGCCACCACCAGCCAGCTCGATGTGATAACCGGCGTTCATAGTAGCAGCCACAAAGTCCCAAGGAACGGTGGTGGGGGTCATACCAGCCACCATGACAGGGGGGATTCCCAACAGACGGCTCATCTTGGTGTCCACGTAGGTTTGACCAGTAGATGTCTGTGTCAGGCGAGGGCCGTGTTCCTTAACCCAGTCCACAGCAAACTTGACAGAATGCTCATCACGGTCGAACAGCTCTGGCTTATAGCCGACCTCTGCATTGGTTCCATCCATTTCACCAGCGAGGATGACCCGAACACCGGTACCGTCCTTGTTTCTGTTGGTCAGAACGCCCAGACCAGAGATGCCACCGGGGCCGAAATCAACGATGTGGGTTGCACGGGGGA